CCTGCACTCCTTTCCACAAAACTGGGTAAGTTGTTCCTGAGTGGCCATGTCACCTTTCCCACACAGCACCTCAGGAATGTTCTTGAAAAGCTGATTCTGTAGATGAGTCTATGCATTGGAAATTTGGTCTGCTGCTGTTGGGAAAGGTTGTCAGCAAGGTGAGCAAGTGACCTGGTGCTAGTTTCACTGCTGATAGACAAGCACTTTTTCCAACACTGTCGCTGCTCATCTAGGCCAGATCTGAACTCAGTCCCAGATGACTCTTCAATTATACTGCTCCGAACAGGCTTATCCTGTTAAAACATTTCCTTGATATTGGCCGAGTTGTCAATTCTGGATAAGGTTTTTGGCTAGATAAAGTTAAGACAGTAATTCAGTTTCTGTGTCTGTTCAGTTCTGGGCTTCTCTTCTCACCCTGACAATACAGGTGTTGATTAATGAAACTGTGAGCAGTCATAGAAATGGCTTTTGCAATAGAACAGTTGTTCAGGGAATAGGGGTTTGACATGCCAATTCTTTTATAGCTAATGCTGAGATGGGGTCTGTGAAAGCTTCTACCAATCACAATTCCCTCTTGTAGAAGTAGCAAATACAGTATCTGTTGTTGTGATCCTCAAAAGAAAATTAATTGTGAAAAAAGTTCACTCTGACATCTTTACCATTGGATTTTATTCATAAAAGTGAGTAGTGCGCTGGACTTTCTTGTACAGCTAGCAAGAGAGGTCACAATGGGGACTGATGCCTTTAGAAAGAGATATTAGCTCTCATTTAAACTATGTTTTAATTCGTGTATCAATGCCTTTTGTCATAAATCGGTGTAAGAACATTTTTCCATTATTAACTAGTAATGTTTAAATAAAATAATTTCTAAAAACAAAAATTTTGCCCTCAGTAATCATTACAATGCCTGTTTGGGGAAATACTGCATTTCTCTTGCCCCAAACGTTTTGGTGGTTTTTTTTGATTGGGAGGTATTCCCTTTTTGTGGAGGGTCTGATAAAATTGCAACCATATGGCAGAGCTATAGAGCATCTTCTGGTTGTCTTCTTCTTTGGACTTCAAAAAATGAATTATATTATGGGATCTGATATATGCTAAACAGAACCAGCTGCCATAGTAATTCCAGGAAAACTGATTAACCAGAGGTTAATGCTAGGTATGAAGTCTTTGACCAATGTATTTTTTGTAGAAGGGCACACTGATAACTTTATTACCCCCTGTTGTTAAGAAATCTGAGTAATTTTGCAGATCTCTGCATGCAGCCACATTTAATTTTGTAGTACTGAATGTCCATACAGGTTATGTTACTTGGAATAAAATGGTTGCTAACATACATCAGCAATCTGTGTTTATATATACAGTCTGTGTTTATATCATTTTGGTTCACATAATCCAGAACCGAGGTCTCCTGAATGACTTGTGTGGCAGGTGTATCAGCATGTATGAAATGAGTACAGACAGTAACTCACTGAAGTTCGTCAAGGAGAAACCGGAATGGCTTCTCTATTGGCACAGGGCTGTGTGCCTTCCCTCGCTTAACAGAAAAACAAGGTCGTGGGGTGAGAACTTGGGCTGAGTGCTAGAAGTAAGTTAATTTTGTGGAAAGAAAATTACTTTGGCCTCTTTTACACACAAATGAGGCAAAAATAATGTACCTGTATTGCAGAGATAGCTTTTGAAATACAAAGGCATAGCATGACCAATTTAATCGGAAGGCAGTGCAATGTTACTCATTTCCTTTGACTTCATTTACATTAGATGCCCTATGTGTTTGAAGGTAGAAGAGGTGCTTACTGATGGACGTCAAATCATCACTTTCCCCAATGGTACTAAAAAGGAGATCAGTGCTGATAAAAGGATGACAACTATTAGCTTTTTCAATGGAGATGTAAAGAAGATCATGCCAGATCAGAGAGTGGTGTGTAACTTTTTTTTCTTTCTTTAAGGAAAATAAAATGATTAAGCAATTTTCCAACAAGGTCCTATCACTTACCTATCACTATCCTATCTGGGAGAAACTGATGAGGCAGGGTGTTGGTTTAACAACCCTGAGTGGTGAAACTGCTTCACCCACAAGGACAAATGTGGAAAGAGATGAAGGTAACAGTCAAAGAAGGAACAAATGGGTAGTTGGCCAAGCAGATTGAAGGAGAGTGAAAGAAGGCAAGCGGCAGGGGCAACCATCTGAAGCAAGGATTGGTTTTCATACATTTGTAGGGTAGGTAGCACAGGGGGTTCTTCCCTCTTGGCATTATGTAAATATAAATAGTTAATAATAATGTGAGCTACAGTGGAAATAAGTGAGGCCTTGGCAGCAGTGGGACTGTTTTAAATTAATAGTGCATGGGTGAGAGTCAAAGTAAAGATGTGGGAAAATGACTTTCATGCACGCAATGTTCTCTTGTATGCTACAGAGATGAAAGTAGCATCATCTACACACAGCCATGAGGAGGAGGGTAAATGAGAGGAATGAACATCAATGCAAACATATCTACTTTTATGGATGGCAGATACAGAAAATGACCCTGAAATGACTTTTTTAAGACGGCTTACTTTTAAGCACATTGTTATGGTTGAATCTGCTTATGTAAATATCGTGAACATGCTGCAAACACTTCACTCTCCTTCCAGATTTATTATTATGCAGATGCACAGACAACGCACATTGCTTATCCAGATGGCCTGGAGGTGCTGCAGTTCCCTAATAATCAAATAGGTATGCAAGAGCTCATAAATGTGAACTATATGTGCAGGAAGGTTTCTATTATGAAAGCGCCATCTGATTTTGACTCCAGCAGATTGGTTATTTTCTTCTCATTTTGCGTTGTCTTTGCATTTCACTTCCAGTATGTTTCATCACTTTACTGCTCAGTTTCCTCCTACAAAGCAAAGACAACAATGTGCTGTAAATGCACCTCTTCTTTGATTATGTGATTATTTGATTCTTTAATTTCTTTAGCAGTATGCTGGGTATAATTTCTATCTTCACTACAATGTCCAAAAAAAAATCTGATCTAGCTTTGTGTAAAGCAACATGTAGAATACTTGACTTTTACATCTTCTTTTCCACAGAAAAACATTATCCTGATGGCACACAAGAAATTGTGTTCCCAGATCACACAGTGAAATGCCTCTATAGTGATGGATTCAAGGAAACTTTTTTCCCAGATGGTACAGTAGTAAAAGTAGAAAAGTAAGTCTTGTGTTAATGACAGGAACCAGGCATTGGACACAAGGTACAATGATACTGACATTTAAAACTGTGGTTGGATTCTGCATGGCTGGGGAATTTCCAGATGAAAGGAGAAAAGATTCGTAAGATAACAAGGGTTTTGCTACAATGAGGCACTGAAAATTGTTCACTTCTACCTTGGATGGTAGGTGACCATTTATCACTAGCAAAGTGACTGTGAAATATTCCTCATTTAGTTCTATGGAACTTTACACTGGCCAGGGTTGCTGGGAGATCACCGGTTGTCTGTGTTAACAATGTGGGTACTAAAGAACTCAAGATGAGGACTCCTGAGCTCTATTCCTTGCTTTTTGGCTCCCTTCCTGATCTTGCGCGAGGCATTTAATGTATTCTCTCTCTCTTCCTCCATGTAAAATGAAGAAAAACAATAGGACCTTCTTACACATGCCTCCTCTGGGCTTAGGGAGGATCCTGTTGTAAAATAGGTTTCCTGCTTTTATGCTTTTTGAGATGCCTGCATGAAGTAGTCATGTAAAATGAGATCTCGCCATCCATTAGGTATTATACTATGTGCTGAAGTACCTTTGTATTGAAATCTTATTGTGAGATCAGATCTCTGATGCCATCCCATGTAAATTCTGAGGTGAATTCTAACATAATCTGAAAAAGTTTCCACTTGACGTTCTCTTTCACTTTCATTGTGTCACATTAGACAGCTCAGTGAGATAGGCTAATGACAAGTGCCTTCTCATCACTTCATTTATTGCTATTTCTTTCAGGAGTGGAGATAAAATAGTGGTATTCAGTAATGGCCAAAAGGAGATTCACACTGCGCAGTTCAAGAGGCGGGAGTACCCCGATGGCACTGTAAAAACTGTGTACCGCAATGGCAGACAGGAAACCAAGCACTCCAGTGGACGAGTTCGAATCAAAGATGAGGACGATAGTATCATCCTAGACAAGAAGTGATTCCTCCCCTCAGAGGGCCGCATTTTACGTAAGTGGCTCAACACATTTTCTCGGCAGGTCAGAACTCTTAGAAAGGTTTAAGCCTTGTGAAAAAGAATGGATGGATCTGTTGGGCTGAAATTTACTTCGGCTCAGTGACTGGTGCTTAGTTTGGAACAACCTCACCCAAATTAAATGTCTTTTGAGTGACACTTGAAGGAGATGCAGTCATGCCCTCTTTGTGTATATAACATTACAATAAATACCCATAGTACTTCTCATCACAGTGTTTCATGATACTGATCACATTTTCCCTTGTTTTTCTTCCAGTTACAAAAGTGACTACAATTAAGGGGCATGGCATAAGAATTTCAAATCTACAGAACATTTTGAATTTCAGCTCAGTGCTGCCTTATGCTGACTAAAACAAATCTATGTGCTTTTTTTTTTTTTTTTTTCAGTTAACCATCATGAAAAATGTGGAAGTGATTAATGTTTTCAGTTTGGTTGGGTTCTTTGGACCAGAAGATCCCAGCATGTACCAGGCCTTATAATGAGCTGTACATTAGACCAAAAACCTGAGCAGCAGTTGAGTGAACAGTCACAGCTTTGGATGTCCCTTCCAACCTAAATTATTCAATAATTATATGATCATAATCTAAGAACTCTGTCTCATGCATTTGAAGACAAAATGTAATGTTTATTCCATCCCAGTCATTATTCTGGATGAAACAGCCCTTTCTTCTTTCTCCAGCAGTCTTTCCTCATACTGTGTTGCTTTGTGTCCTCCTCTGTGTTGCTCTGTTTTTGAATTAACCTCTCTCACTACTGTCTTTATTCTTCCAGTAGTGCAAAAATATTTCTGGTCAGTGAATCTCTCCAGCTTTAAGGCTCTTTGGATGGCACTTGATACCTAGGGGGATTAATCATTTATCAGATGCTGCTTTCAACTGCCTTCCCTGTAGACTGCCTGTCCATCATCTGTCTTGAATTTTTCCAAAGCACTGAAGCATTTCCCCTGTAGAGCTCAGCTCATTACCTGCCCATTTGACTGAGAAGACCAATTATCTCCTTATGCCCTTCACATTCCTGTAGCAACAAACACACTTTCAGAGCACGCTGCTTTAGCTTTTCTCATACCTAAGTGCAAATTAATTGCAAAATTATGGAATTTCTCTTTCTTCTCTTCATTTTTTTTCCAGCGGGTCAGACTATCAAATCACCATTCAAATTACAGAGCATCTTTGGAAGAAATAGATTGAATAGCGCAAGAAGCGTTGCTGATATTGATCACACACATACTTCAGTTTATGAACTTAATTATGATACTGTGAACACCCAGGCAGTTTGATGTTGGCTAGTGTGATAATAAAAATGCATTGTTTTTCCTTTACTCCTGTATAACAAAGGAACAATTTATAAACATGTGCTGAAATACACTACTGAAATATCTACTTTATGTGTTTTGTAAAAGGAAACTCTTATTAAAAGCAATCCAAGATGATGTCATTCTTTTCTGTGTGTTTCACTAAGAATTTCAGTTCAGTGCTGCCTTATGCTGACCAAAACAAATCTATGTTGACTTTTTTCTCAATTAAGCATAACGAAAAAAGTGAATGTGATTAATGTTTTCAGCTTGGCTGGGAAACTAGATGTGATACTAACGTTTTCTAAAGCGACACTGTTTTTATTCCCAGGAATTCCTTTTAACAAAAGGTCCCTGTTCTCCAGCTAATATGCTGACATTCTCTTTGTTTCTATAGTAATACTGAAAAACGGTCTTTGTTTGCAGCTTTTAGCCTTAAATCGCTGTTTGCCATTCAATAACCCATGTATATAATCCCTTCCAACTGTAAATTAAATAAGGAACAATTTTGTTTGTATGCTGCTTGCTCCTTGCTTCATTAAGTACTCTTGACTCCAGTTGCAGGAAGCATTTTGATCCTGGAATAATTCAGCCTACGGTCCTGCACAGATGCAACACACAGGCGGATACGTGCAAGTCAGTCTCTCAAACTCTGCACACAGCGATACATGTGTGCAAACACCTTGCTGATGTATGCATTCACCTTGCTGGTGTATGTATTCACCTTGTTAGTGCCTGCTTACAGGGAGGTTGTAATGGTTCTACTTTCTGGCAAATCAACGGCAAACCTTCCATTGGTGAAATCAAGGGCGAGACTACTCCAGGATTTCACAGTACTTTTGCCAACTTATGTCTGCCCTCCATTTTTACTGACACATGTTTTTCAAGTGATATTTCATAGGATAATAGCAAAGGGATTCTTGAAATAAGGGGCACAAATTTGGTTTGAAAAGGAGGAGACAGAAAAACACCTACATAAATGACAAGCTCTGTCAGGTTGTTATAACTAGGAGTCCTTCACAGACCAGTTATGACATATGCCACATTATTTTTCACAGGCTGATTCTCACAGCCTGTCTCCTCCACCTTCCACGTGCATTACTTAACCAGAAGCAGTAGTGGCTCTACCAGCTATAGTTCATAGTTGTAGGAGCACAAATAATCCAAATTAAGTGTGACTGCATATGTACTTAAACTATAGCAATACACATACCTACTTTATTATGGTTTTTGTCCTAGAGGGTTTATAGTGAATGTTTTTTTATGAATTCTTCAGGGAGATGGAACAGTTGGGAAACCCCACTTCTTGTCTTTCCACAGGTTTCCAACAGTAGTGGAAGCACGCTACAGCCAGTATTTGGCCTCAATTTTGATTCAAATTTAGAATACGCTGTGACTGCTGAACAGAGTTACTTTCATTCAGACAGCTGGGGGCAAGAAAAATGTAGAAGAGAAGGGTAGTATTTTGACCATCATCTCAAATGCTTCAGTTCCATGTTAATATTTTTCCATGCACAGCTGATCACCAGTTTTATTGCAAGCAAAACAAAGCTGCCTACACACTGTACCCATCAGGTGGCTAATGCAGAGATATATGTAATTTATATTCTGCCCTCTGAAAACAAATTTCTCTGTTAACTTGGGAAGATTAATTATTTCTTTATTAAGAGTTTGTCTGAAACAAAACACTGGAGCAGTACATAGATTTTTTAAAAAATTACTTTCCATAAGAATTTCTACAGAAACCTACTGATCATAAAATGAATTTCATACAATGCAAAATTAATTTCTGGAAATGAATCTTGGGAAGCTTACTGGATTCTTCAATATTCATATACATTCATATTACCCTCTCCTTTGCAAACTGAGTGCATTTTGAATGCTCCTTGGTGTAAAGTGACTGTTTTTTCAAGTCATAAAGCCCCCTTAGTTAGGAAAAGAAAAGAAGCAAAGATCACTGAGAAGAATAATAAAGAATGACTGGCATTTCTGAAGATGTTTTGAGAAATGCAGTTCTCCATTTATACTCTGGATTACTTTAATATTGCAAGAATTAATTAACAAAAATTAGTACTTTAAAAAAAATCTTTCATGGTAGTTACTAAATTACAATTTTTAAATTGTGTATCGTTTGAGATATCTCCCTTGCTAATGCAATTTCAGTGTACATCTACCTCCTTCCAGCTAAAGTTGCCATTTATAATATGTCTGTATAACCTAACATCACCAAGTTACACAGAAGTTAAATAGCCTATCCTTTTCTTTCTGTTCTGCTGTTTTGATGGTAACTGTTTGCTTACTAATTTGTTTATTTCCTTTATGATGCTCTTTATATCTGTCCCATCCCTGGAAGCCTGAAGAGCAGCTTCATTGAAAGGAAAAATAAGGACAAAATCTCCTACACGGGGGATAGGCCTCTGGTCTTTATCAGAGAGGAAATAGGGGGGTGTGGTTAACTTGTAGTTGCAGAAGTCAGGTGTAGGTAACCAGTGGCTGAGTTGGGCAGATTTGGGTGGAGAATGCCCAGCTCCTGGCATTTGTTTATTTTTAGCTTCAGCTTTTGCTTGGGAGGGTATTTTTGGCATGTTCATCCTTTCCCGCAGCTGGGAAGTCAGTGTTTTTCTTGGATGCATGCTGACCGTTTTCTTGGTCAGGGTAGCCGCCTTACGAATTGATCCTCTTGCAGCCTGCAGGGCAGGTTGTACAGAATAAGCAGAAGTACATTTAGCCACTTTTTGGCAAGTGAGTAAGCCAGGAGTGTGCTCGGTGGCACTCTGACCAGCTGTGCTCCAGGGCACCTGCCTTCTGCTAGTCTTTAATCCAGCCACTTGGTTTTGCCTGTAAGTGTCAATCTGCTTGTAGTTCAGCAGTTCAACAACATCGTGAAGGAGTTTTCTTTTCACAGTGTCATCAATGGAACAGTCTAAACACAAGGCTGGATTGTAGTTGACTTCTAAAAGCCACGGCTTGAATTTGTCATCGATCAGGATGTCAAAGCCAAAGAGCTCAAAGCAATTGGAAGCCACTGGTAAGGGGGTTACAGCGAGCAGGGTGAGAATCACTATGTTATTGATCTTCTGCCAGAGGACCATGTCATCAACCCCAAATATTCGAAGGTAAGAACGAAATTTGCTGAATGTCCATTTGCAGCCACAGCCAATCCCTTCTTTATATTTCTTATATGAAGCTCCATATTTGTTGATGCTGGTGTTTGTTAGGTGGGCATAGACGTTGTCCAGAGAATCAAGGTCAAACTTTTCAGTAGCAAACCTCACCAGGCCTTCATCATACGTGTAAATGGTGAGGGGGCAAAAACTGGTGACACACACATAGAGGCGCAGATCCAGTTTATACCCTGAAATGAGCAAGGGGTTGCTAATATACTTCTGCACAATGACTGTACAGTCATATACTAAGTCTTTAATGTCTTGGAAAATGATTATGCCCCTTCCACGGGAGAGATCCACAGGCTTGCAAATCCAGTAGCTAGGTCTTCTGCCTACTGAGTGTCTCTCCTTGCTGTATTCTGCTATAAATTTGACATAGTCATTGGGCATGATGAATGCCACTGGACTAAATTCATAGAGAGTTGATCCATATGCTCCTTTCATACGTTTCAGATGCCTTGCCAAATAGTCTTTCCTGGTGATCCGTA